AAACCTAGAGAAGTGTCTGGAAGTTAGCTGTCTGCCTCAGATGACAGAAGCCCAAACCCCAAGGGTTTTAACAGATACTGCTCAGAAAGATGGTAAAAGAATTGTAAATTCCAGCAGGAGCAAACAATTCCATTTGCAAACTTCACTTTGCATGGTGGAGAGAAAGTGCTAGTTGTTTGTGAAACCCAACAGTAGCAAAACTCTAGTGCAACTCAGGAGACAAAACCTCCATTCCATTCACAAGCATAATCCCAACATATTTATCTTTGTATGTAACCCAAACATACATTGCTTTAAAATTTTTAATTAGACTAATCATGCAAGGACAGCGTTCAATGGTAAAAGATGGTAGACTGGTTGCTCGGACCACAGAGGTGGAAATCCTAAAGGCCGGAGAAAGGACATAATTAAATTGTATGCGTATTCTGTCACTTCTCTACACCAACTGCCACAAGACCATCCTTTTTTAGCAGAATGTCGTAAGTCCACTATGCAAACATATCTTCATTACAATTTCCCTAACTTTACCTGACTTCTCACCAATTTTCCTGATATTTCCCTGACCAACTTCCATTTCTCCTACTCTCCCTGACTTTCCAGAAAGTGGTAACCCTGTACAGCGGTGACTTGACTTACAAACTTAATCGGTTCCGGAACTCCGGTCATAACTCGAAATCGTCAAAAGTCAAAGCACCATTTCCCATAGGAATGCATTCAAATGCAATTAATCCGTTCCGGCTGAAGAAAAAAATCACCAAAAAACCCTCCACTGCAAGACCTATCGGAATTGCAATTAATCCGTTCCAGCCAAAGAAAGAAAAAAAGAAAGAAAAGCAAACAAACCACGCAAGACCCTTCAGAAATGCAAAAAAAGCAAAGCAGAAAGCGAGCAAACCATGCAATACCCTTGGGAAATGCAAAAAAAGAAAAAAAAGAAAAGAAAACCAGAAAGCAAACAAACCATGTAAGACCCATCGGAAATGCAAAAAAACAAAGCCTGCAAGATCCTTCGGAAATGGGCTGCAATTTCCCAAAAGCAAGCTATGCAAGACCCATTGGAAATGGGGAGGGGCGAAACAAAAAAAAACCCTGCAAAACCCATCAGAAATGGGGGGAAAAACAAAAACAAACAAACCTTGCAAGACCCATCAGAAATGGGAAGAAAAAAACACAAAAAAACCCCTGCAAGACCCATCACAACATAGAAACATAATCCCACCATCCAGCCCAAAACTACGCTGTAAAACCCACCGAGAACAGTTTTTAAGAAGTACAAAGCAGCACCTTACCTTACCAGGCAATCCAAAGCCTCCTCTGATCGCATACTCTCTAACTGCTGGGGTGAAAGAGCTACAAAGAAGCAGCCTCTTCACCACCAATGGTTAGCAATTTGAATTCCCTGGCTTTTTCTCCTGTCTTTTTCTGGTTGTAACTTGAAGCTCCGGCCACAAGTCAAAGCAAAATTTTGCAGCCGGAACTGGTCGTAACTCGAAATGATTGTATGTCGGGACATTCGTTAAGTCGAGGCATCACTGTATTTGGGAACTGAAACCAAACTGAAACCAAAGTTTCAGCTTTGGGAACTGAAACCAAACTTAAACAGCACCAAATTATAGGACAACACACTATATGTATAGTATTAAATTTAGCTTAACAAACCACTGTTATACTGACCTCAAGAGATAAAACAGGAGGTACTTTCTCAAGCTAATTCCTGGTAATGTCAAACAGCTTAGAGTGTTTCCCAACCCTAGCTACCAGTGTTCCCAACTTGGGTGTTGTGACTCCCAAGAGGGTTGCGGAGTGTTTTCTGAGGGGTCATGGGTCGCCTTGTATGTGTTGTAGCGCTTGCTAAACCATTTCCAGAGCAGAATATTAAAGTTGGTGCATTTGTGTATCTATGTAAAAACAGGCCCTTTGGGGGAGAAAGAAGTCTCTACTTTCTGAGAAGGGCTGACTTTATCCCATTGAAAATGGGAACAGACTACTTGGCTATTATAATTGGGGGGGGGTCACAACTCAAAAAAGGTTGGGAATCATTGATATAGACAGTAGTAATACAAGATGAAAATAAGATGAAGGAACCCTTGCTCCCTTGCCTAATTCTTCTTGGATAAATCCTGTGTGGAAATAAACTGTAGTCTTCTGTTTAAAATGATTTTAACTTACAGTAAGCCTTAATATAGTGATTGCAATTTTTTTGGCCTTTTTTGTAGCTATGTCTACACTTCTACTAATTCTATTTACAAATCTAAATTGACTGTAGCCCGTTTCTGACAAAGTCCACTTTTCAGTTTAAAAAAACAGGAGCTTCATCTCTAATCCCAATATGATTCTTGATCTCTTAACTAAATTAACTAATGCATATAAAATAATTATTTATCAACCATATAATGGCAAACATCTGCTACCAAGATAATGTAGTGTACATGAAGTCCTGTTCAGAATAAAGGGATGAAAGGGCATCACAATATACTGCACATAGTAGAGACCATACACCATTTAGCATCAGACAGCTTCAAATGTGGCAAGCAATTTCACATTGGGTCTAGGATCTACATCCTAAAGACAGAAGTCTACTCCAGAAGATGTTGTAGCTTGGTGATTAGCGATCTTCATCTTCTCCCTGCATCCCATGCAGCATAGTCCAGCACCCCTGTGTGGCATGAAGCTGGGAGGTGGGATGAGGAGGGAACAAACTCTGCTTCATCCAGCCTTCTCAGGTGCACTTAAGAGTGGATCCAATTCACTATGGGTTTTTTTTTCATTTTTAAATGAAAATAAATAGTACCCACATCAATGGGAATGAAACTTGTTTCTACATGCAGGAATCAAGTTCTTCCAAACCTCTATGAAGTTTTTTTTAATAAAACAAACAAACAAAATATGAGCACTTACAGTGTTTTTCAACAGTGTACACTCTGTCTTCTTTTATTAATGCTTTGCAGAGGTGCCACACTCAAGTGTTTGCAAAGACAAGTATTTATGTTTCCATAAGAGAAGCCCAGGAAATGTCACTTTAAAATAATGATTTAGCATTCTTTCAAGGACTTAGAGTGAGAGTACATCCCAGAATTACTACTTTAAGAAACTCAAACTTGTTAAGTTCAATATATTTTTTGTTCAAAACCACTTAAGAACTAAAATAAAGGTTCGTGTAGTGAGCCCTCCTCCTACACTGCCAGGCTGCTGACTTGTCAACATTTGTAAGTACTTTATCATCAGTTTATTTTGTCTCTCTTGAATGGAACACCCACAACACAAATTATGAAAATAGATATTTCCCTTGTAAAGTACATTAAAAAGAAGCCAGTTTTCAGAGTCATAGTCATAGAAAAAGGACAAAGGGTTAGTAAAAACAAAGAGATTATAGCATAATAAGCTTTTGCGAACTAGAGGGTACTTCGTGGGATGAGGTGGGTTCTAGTTCATGACAGCTCATGGCACAATAAATCTCTTAGTCTTTAACATGACAAGATTTTTCTAAAAGAGGCCTTGATCAGAGCACTCCTTCTGCTCATGAGGGTATGGACTGCAGCAGAGATACTGCCACTTCCACAGTCAGTTACAACCAAGAAGGGGGTGCCACCATCCCCAAAATTGAAGAAACCAAGTACCTCTTCATCAGTTACAACTTCCAGCTCTGTTGGGGAGCACACTGAGAAATGAGGGAGAAGCTCTTTGGTTGCTTCAGACATGCACCCCAAATACATCAGCGGAATCCATGGCTGTCGAGGACTCCTGACAACAGCTCCCTCCCTACACACTTTAGCCTTGGCCATCCTGCCACATTACTGCTCTCCTCACACAAAAATGGTTGTTCGATAAGAGCATGCAGTAACTCCACATGAAAACCAGGACTCGCTGTCCATATCCCGGCTCATATACAGAGACTCCATAGTTACAGCAGTCTCTTCCTCACACAGTTGCTGTTACCTGTAGAGAAATTGTAAGAGATGGGTTAACAATACTTCATTATGTGTACATACATTTTATTAATGCCTACATAGAGCTTCTTCTCTTGCAGAATTTTGAAATTCTGTAACTTTCCTCAGCTGCACAGCAGAGGTTCAGGGACTCAAAGAGCACAAGTTAGGTAAAGTCTCCCCTTGACATTTAGTCCATTCCTGTCCGACTCTAGGGGGCGGTGCTCATCCTGGTTTCCAAGCCATAGAGCCGGTGTTTGTCCGAATACAGTTTCCGTGGTCATGTGGCCACTGCGACTAGACATGGAACGCCGTTACCTTCCCACCAAGGTGGTACCTATTTATCTACTCGCATTTGCATGCTTTCAAACTGCTAGGTTGGCAGGAGCTGGGACAAGCGATGGGAGCTCACTCCGTCACATGGATTCGATCTTACAAACTTGCTGGTCTTCTGCCCTTGCAGCACAGAGGCTTCTGCAGTTTAACCCACAGCGCCACCACGTCCCTTCACAGAGCACAAGTTACTAGTTCCCAAATAATCCACCCCCTCTCATTAACTGGCACTTACAGTCTCAATGACTCACTCTGAGGCATTAGTAATAAAGAATAAAAATGTTGAATTTACATACAATTCTGAATGTATTAACAAACTAACATTACTGATTTTAACAACTTTGCTTCTTGTGTTCTTTAACAAGCATTTTCCTACCAATCATCATCAACTTACATTAACAGACTCTCTGTGAGGTAAAAAGATTCTCTCAGCATAGAGGTGGGTCTCTCTTTAGAATTCTGACATGCAGGAGAGAAGTACTGGTTGATACTGGACAGACCGAAAGTTTACTTCCAACCTATAAAGGTCCCTCCCAGTCAAAGAAGTTAGGAGACAGCATGGGAGATTGCAAACTCCATAATTACAGCAGTCTCCTCTTCACATATTTGCTTTTACATGAAGAAATGAGGAGGGATATTTAGCCATACTTCCCTCATTATGAGTACATACATTTTATTAATGCCTATGTAAGGCTTCTTCTCCTACTCAGAGAAAAAAATACGTAAAGACGAACACAAAAAGAAAACTTGGAATCACATTATCTGATTCTATTTATTGAAATCTATTTATTTGGATCCAGCTATTGTATTGCTGGATTGTTGTTTCCATTTTCAGCACACCTCCTCATCAGCTGGGCTGGCTACGGCTAATGGGACTTCCAACCCGACAACATGCGAAAGGCCACATTTTGCCCCACCCCAGCTCAAAATCCAGAGAACAACATAAGGATGTAATTTAAAGTTTCGATTTAAAATCAGACCATTTACAAATTGTGTTACTTCCATTTAAAATATTGGCCAGTTCACTTTTTGAGCCTTTCCATTATTGAGCAGATTTATCCACAATTCAAAAATAATGTTTTTGGCTTTTAAGTCAGAAGATGCAACCCTCCATCTATAATTAGAACATGTCCTGTTACATAAGGAGTTTCTAGAAGAAATGCAACAGCTTTGGCAACTTCAGAAGGCTCCCCAAATCTTCCAAGAGGAATATTCTTTTTCAGTTCTTCTTCTTTCAAGTGTGAGGTCATATCTGTATGAATAAAGCCTGAAAAGAGCAGGAAGTGGGGTGTAGATGTTTATAAATACTTCTGACATTAATTATCTGGTATAACTCTTATTGCCATTTATATAGTGTTTCCCAAATTTTCATGTCACACATCTAGCAGGACAGAAAGCTCAAGAAATCATTAAAGAAAGGAAAGTGTTTACATTTTTAAGACTATGATTATCAATCCTAGTCTTAAAAATCTGCTATTGAGGAAACTATACAGCAAATTTTATACGGGCCAAATCTTACATATCTTACATATACAGCCTCATATTAACCAAATCTATTTGCCAGTAAAGGCCAGCACTGATTTTGATAGGATGCACTTCTTAGAACATCCAACAAAACATGACTAACTACAGAAAATCAGATTTTAACAGTGTAAATTCATACTCTTGTCTTCCCCACCAGACACCATCGTTCAGATGCCCTTTTTTCTCTTCCACCATAAAAACTGTTACATGGAATGAAAGGGGGATAAATTCACAACCTTACTCCTGTATCATCCTCATGGTCTCCCCATTCAGCATTAGCAACAATAACCCATTGCCAAAAAAATAAGCTAAAAGAGGATATAGATTTCCATAAAATCCATGCAGGGATTAAATTTATAGACAAAAGGTGATGACCATAGGTCTCAACACCAGACATTATATATATAATTTCAGCCTTAATAATCAACAGATAACCAATCATAATTTTAAAAAGAAAATGAATAGAGACATTTTCTGACAAATGCATTTATGCCTTGGGTTAGATTCCACTCAAAGGATGGGGGTTAAATTCTCACATCCAGGGAGTACAGTCAGTGCTATTCAGGGTATCGCCAGAGGCTTGCTCAGATGTCAGAAATGTTCATACTCAAGTCTTGCTGTAGTTAATAAAGAAAAGTGACAACTGAATTAATCAAAATAAAAGAGAAAGTTTACACAAGAACTCTAATTATTTCATGTATAACATGTATGTACAGAAAATGATTATTTGGTAAAAGTATAGGTCAAAGAATACAAACCCAATTCTATCATGCAGTCTAGTTTGAGCAAAAGAAAAAATCTAATACTTGCTATTACTTATGGCATTTATTCGTGGAAAAAATTAATTCACAAAATCAAAAGAAAAAAATACCACACCACAGTGTGGTATGGGTGGGTGTGAATGTAAGATGTCAGTTCTAAATGAACTAAGGCTACTTGTTTAAAATACTGGCATTTTGCTCTGTCCCTTTGAGAAAAATATTATGCTTGGACTAAGAAATAATTGTTCTTGAGACTATTGATAGTCATAGTATCAAAAAAGGGAACTTTCCCAAATATCAGAATTCAATGTACTGGTAATAACTACACTGGTGCCTCGCTTAACGATTACCTCATTAAATGATGAATCTGCTTCACGATGAGGTTTTTGCGATCGCTTTTGCGATCACAAAACGATATTTTAAGGGGGAAATTCGCTTAACGATGATCGGTCCCCTGCTTCGGGAACCGATTTTTCGCTTAACGATGTTTTAAAAACAGCTGATTGGTAGATCTCAAAATGGCCACCTGCTGTGCAAAATGGCTCTCCGCTGTTTTTAGCATGGATTTTTCGCTTTACAGACACCCAAAAATGGCCGCCCTATGGAGGATCTTCACTGCACGATGAGGTATTTAGCCCACTGGAACGCATTGAACCGGTTTTCAATGCATTTCAATGGGCTTTTTTATTTCGCTTGACGAGGATTTCGCTCTACAGCGATTTTGCTGGAACGAATTATCCTCGTCAAGCGAGGCACCACTGTATTACTCGGTCTATCCTATATAAAGAGAACAACTGTTCTAATTTTTAAAAGAACTTTTCAGATTTAGAATATTGAAGATTGAAAATGCCGCCTCTATTGCTTGTCAGAATTGCAACAGATTGATCTCCTTTGAGAGCTCTTGCTGAAAATTACTTAAAACTCGATTTGCACTTTTTTTTTTTTTGCTTATTTGTAGCTTTGTTATCACATATACTTTGTAGCTACAAAATGACAGCCTCTTATTTAAGGCGGGCAGGAGAGGGAGAGACCAGCTCAATAACAATAATTGGAGAATTACCTTTATTTTTCATCTAAGACTTTGGATTGCTCACCTTATTGGCCTTACCAAGATTGAGACAGGGTAAGTGAGAGCAGACCCATCAAAAATATAGCAAAGAGAGTAAAAATCCAATCAATATCCAAGGGCAAATCAAGTTTAAATGGAGAAACTGACAGGACAGGTCATGCCATAACCATGTCAGCTAAAGGAGGAAGAGTGGCAGTCTCAGCCTCCAGGCAAACTTTCCATTCAAAATATAAAGTAAATTTTACTGAAAACAATGCAATGGCTCTTCCTTTTCCATCTACTGAGTTTGCAACTGAAGTAATTATGGGACTGAAATTAAATCTTAAAGAGTCTGGGAGGAAAAAAACCCAAATGTGTCTTGCATTCACTATATAAGGAGCTAAGGGAGTTCATGTTGTATCACTCCAATCTTACTAATGCGCTGAATCCTTGGTGACATTCTGTGAATCAGTCATTGGACTTAAACTAACCTGGAGCTACCATGTTGACTCGAATGTTCTTTCTTGCTACTTCTTTGGCAAGAGAGCATGAAAATCCAACTAATCCTGCTTTGCTGGCACTGTATATGCTTTGCCCAGAATTGCCCTTCAATCCAACAATACTCCCTAAAATAAAACAAGAAATATACAGTAGTTAAAACCAATGTGTGAGAATTATAGCCAAGCAGATTGTTTTCAATAGCTGTACAGCATTTTATACATTTTGAAGCTTCAGCTAAAGGATTTTAAAATAACCTGTACTTACATAATGGGTATGGAAATCTTAAACTCTAAAGAAACAACCAGACATTCAACAAAAGGTGTTACGGACTATAGCCATACAAAAGTATAACTACAATAATGCAACTGGATTTTACCTCACAATTTTTATTCTGAATATATTTTAATACAGAATTGTTTCCTCGGGTAGTTGGATCAAGTGCAGTGTTCACATGGGGAAAAAAGGCCTTTGGGGGCAAATATTTAAATTTAGTTCATTTATTTATTTACAATATTTTTACCCTGCCTTTCTCATTAAAAAGGACACAAGGTGGCTTACATCATTAAAAGACAACATTTAAAGCTAAAAACAGTAAGTATACAAATACTAGAAAGAGTCAAACAGCACACTACAACACAGTAAGCCTTAACTATATAAAACACATTCAAAAGCAGTAAGAAACAACAATCTATTTCACATCCTGCTCAGGCAGCCAATCACTGAGGAAAGCTTGCCAGGTTTATAGATCAGTCAATTGTCTGTGTAAAATGAGACAAATAGGCAGGATAAGAGAAATTATTTTACTGTCTTCTCCCATTGTTCTATATACAGTGGTGCCTCGCTTAACGGGCGCCCCGTTTACCGATGAATCCGCATAGCGACTAATTTTTTGAGATCATTTTTGCGATCGCATTGCAATGGTTTAGATAGGAAAAAAAAATGCTTTGCGATGATCGGTACCGTTTCGCATACCAATCATCGCATAGCGATGATTTCCCAACTGCTGATCGGCGGTTCCAAAATGGCTGCTGGGTAAAAAAATCGGCTACCCGCTGTGTTTTCGTCCGGATTCCTCGCTTACCGGACAGCAAAAATGGCCGCCGTATAGAGGATTTTCGCTTAAAGGTGAGTTTTAAGCCCGTAGGAATGCATAGCGTTCGAAATCGCTTTGCAGCAATTTTTGCTGCACGGATTGCCGCTATGCGGGGCATCACTGTACTTGCCTAAATTTTATGTTGAGACTGATAACACACACATGAAATCAACCCAATGCATAAAGGAAAAAGTAGTGTACAGTACAGTAAAAATTATTTTCAACTTACCTTTCTATAATTCCTGTTTTAAAACCATTAGTCCATAGGTCGAGCCTCCCGATACCTTGCAGGGCTTCTCTGCTGCCATGGGAGGCATCTCAGAGGTCCCCCCTGTCACCGATAGTGCTTCGGAGCCACTATCAGCGGCGGGAGGGGGACCTCCAACATTCCTCCCATAGCGGTGGAGAAGCCCTGCAAGGCATCTGGAGGTCCCCTGCTGCTGCCACCGCTGCTGGAAGCCAAGCTGCGCCGGTCAACCCAAGCCATGCTCGGACTCCTGGGAGTCCAAGCACGGCTAGGGTTGCCCGGCTCGGCTCCCAGCGGCAGCAGCAGCAGGGTGGGTGGGGTCTCCGGATGCCTTCCATTGCTTCTCTGCCTGGAAGGCATCCGGAGGTCCCCCGCCGCCGTCGCCGCTGCTGGGAGCCAAGCCATGCCGGGCAATCCCAGCCATGCTCGGACTCCTTGACAGCACAGAACACACAAACGGGATTCAAATAAGGTTTTTTTTCCTAGTGTAACAGCGCTCTTAGTTAAGCATGTGTTTTCATTCACTGTTATGCTTGTGATCCATATGTCTAAAGCTCACACTGAAATAAATCTGTCGGTCTTAGAGGTGCAATACTTTGTTTTACATTTGGTTTTGTTGTGAAAACAGTCTAACACAGCTGCCTCTCTTAAAATTGTTAGGAGTGTTTATGTATTTCTGAATTTATTTAACATCAAGACAATAGAACGGCTTTTTCTGCTGGAAAGTTGAGAAATTGTTTAAATGAACTGTAGAAATATGACACACCATTAACTTATATTACATGAGTGATTGTTCTCAAATGAAAGAACATAAGAATAATGTGTTGAAGTATTTTTCCCCCTATTCCTGACGACCCTTTGAAGACTTCAGAAAGGTAAGGCGTATTTTTAAATTTTATTTTTAATTTTATGTGTGTGGTGGGTGTTTCTTAGGCGGGTTACGGATTAATGGATTTTCAATGCATTCCTACGGGGAATGCTTTTTCGACCTACGGACTTTTGGACCCACAGACTCAGTTCCAATACGGATTAATTCCGTAGGTTGAGACCCCACTGTATTTATGGTCAAATCTCCATGAATTTTAGCTTTGTGATTTCATGGGAAAGTACTTGAATCATACTTCATATTTCTTCTAAAAGAATTAGTATTACTAAGACGTAATTGTATTTGCTTGGGCTGACATACCTAAATTAACAATAGCACCACCTTGCTGTTGAACCATGCTCTTCAATGCAGCTTTGCATGTGAGCATTGTTCCCACAAGATTGGTCTGAAGCTGGGATAACATGTCTTCTGGCTGAGTTCGCAACAATAAGCCATCCCTAGTCAAAAAGGAGAAAACTGGATGTTAATTCTTAAAGAATTACTGTTCACAAAATTCAAGAAGCTGCACAAATTACACTGAAAAACATGAAAACATGCTAGGTGACAATTTCTACATGTGATCAATGCTTAACCTGTTAAGACAAAAAAATATAAATCCTAACTATTTTATCTTGAAATTAAATATTTTAATCCAGAGTAAACCCAATATTGTTTACTCTGGATTAACTAATAGGTTTTGTCTTTTTGACCAGGGTACTCTGGAATGTTTTATCTATGTACCTTTCTTTGATCACTAAATGTTAACCATGCAATTGCAGTAAATTTTAATAGGCCCTTAAGGCTCAGAAATCATACTATATGCTACTATTTAAACAAGTCTTTTAAATGAAAATGACATGGAGGCTCCAAAAATCATATTCAATCTTTGATCAGCTGAGAGATACTGAAGGAAATTAAAGGGTTCTTTCAAGATAATGAAATGTTATCAACTCTATAAGCCAAAGAACAGCCCAAATAATCTATACTCTTCCAAAAACTAGAGGATATACTTAAAGCCTCTTAACTTTAAACCTTCTCCAAAACAAACTAAACTGTTATCTTCTGTTTTAGCTATCCATTTATGTTGTTACCAAAAGTATATAATTTGATTGCAACTAACCTGTTGATAGCTGCAGCATTAACGAGATAGTTTACATGACCTAAACTCTTCTCTATTTCTTTAAAAGTATTTTGGATGTCTTCTTCTCTGGAAACATCACAACTAAAGGCTAGATGGCCTGCTGTGTTGGAATAAAATCCACAATGAGATATAAACTCTCTCAAGTTACTCAGAGACAATAATTTCAATCAAAACCAATGCATAAAGCTCTTAGCACACTGATTCTAAAACAATGATCAGTAAGATAGATAAGATACCAATCCCTATTATATGAGAACCATGTTTGTTGCTGATGGGAGTGCACTTTTCAAATGTTACACCGAACTCTGTGAGAAAAAAGTGAGCTCCACCAATTGCTAATGAGTTACAATGTGTTAACTAGATTGTTAATTAATACTGTGTCATGTTATGAGCTGTCCCAGATGATTCACAAATATGATTCAGTTTTAATAATTTTGCTTTTTTCTGCAAAATGAGCAGCACATTCAATAATAATGTGTTTTTCTAACAGTCCACCACGGTTCTAAAACATGTTTAAAATATGTTTAAAGCAAAGACCAAGGTGCACATACCTCCCAGGTTAATGGCAGTAGTCTGAGCTCTTTCCAAATTTCTTGCAACAACAGCCAAATGATACCCTTTCTGTGCTAGCAGTTGTGCAACTGCTTGACCAATTCCACGGGATCCTCCAAAAATGGCACAAACCTTTGACATCTTCACAGAAAACTAATTGCTAGTAGTGACAGACAATATACATGTTGCTTTTGTATTTGTGTGCTTATCAAAATAACCTAAGAGGCAGCAAGCAATAAACTATACACAATTCCAATCAACACAACCTAAAATTTTATACATCTGCACTGTGTTAAGATATGCAACATTTGTACAGTATGTTTTCTGATGCAAAAGCATTGAATACACTTATGTATGAACTGATACGGTATATGTGCATACACACAGACAGGTTATGTGTCATTTTATCATCATCAGACCTACAGGTAACATATTATTGAGCTAGAATAAAGCAAATGGCCTCATTCAATGGCCTCTCAGCTTTTCTACATTTCCCCCCCCCTTCTGATGAGTTGGTAGATTTCCTAAGGCAGAGTTACAGACAGTAAGTACAGTACTTTAAACTTCAAGCTAAGATATGCTGCTATTTTTGGTTGGACCTCTTGTCTGGGAACTCCTCTGAAATTGGGCTGGAAGACATTTCCCCCCTTTTGATTTATGGTCTGAGCATTTATAATACCTTGAAGAATCTCCCCGCAGTGCAAAGATCCAAAGTTCCCTCAGCCCACCAATGAGGCATCCAAGGGGGTAATAGTAAATATGCTATCTGTCATGTAATCACCCTCTTTAATTAAAACGTTTACTTACATAATTTTAATGCCACTTATTAACCATTGCTAAGAAAAATGGTACAGGTAGCTGCTACCTCTGTAATGGACCCAGTGTTTTGTTTTGTTTTGTTTTTTGAGCTTGACTCAATCTGTTTACCACTTGCAAGCATTAGATGTTGCCAGCATCATTTGCCACTTCACAGCTAACTCCTGACTGCAGAGAGTTTAGGTTAAAAAGCTTTGAAACATTGCTTGTAACACTGACCCTTGAAGGACCCACACGTTTTCGATCCCTCCCTTTTGAGAGCCATTTCTTCTTGCCCTGTGCTTTCTGTTCTGTAGCCAGTCACTAATCCACAGGATAACATTTCCTCGACTTCCCTCACCCCTGAGTTCCCGCAGGAAATTTTGATGAGAGGCACTGTCATGAGACGTTTGGAGGCCCGAGTACAAGATCACCCCTTCCCATGTGCCCACGGACACTCTCTGGCGCCACTGTGTGAGTTCAAAGGAAAGGTCCATCTAGTTAATAATTCTATTTATTTTTCTTCTTTTACAAGCTACAGATTCTAACACCTGCAATCCCGGAGACCTTTTAAATCCAATCCTTCGATTCGCAAAACAAATTATCAAACCTGACCAGCGGCTTTGGACTACAACTCCCAGAATCCCATGCTGGCTGAGGCTTCCCAGAGTTAAAAGTCCAAAGCAAATGGCGGACCAAGACTTTCAGATCCTGTTTGTTTGTTTGTTTGTCAAAGAGAGAGAGAGAGAGAGAGAGAACTGGATCCAAGATAACCCCAAAACCTGTTTACGCGACAGAAAAATCTCCCAAATTTCCCCGGGACTTCCCGCCCTATATCTATGACGTTGCTGAAGCGGCCCGCCATGCTGGCAAAAGCGGCTTCTTTTCTTTCCGCGGGCAGCCAAGCAAGCCCTCGGGGCTCCTCCTAGAGACGCCACCGCCCCTGGCCCGTCTTTCGCCCGGCCCAGACCGTTCCCACCTTCCGCGGACAGACGGCTTCAGGAGGAAGAGGAGGGAGGAGGCGCCGCCGCCGCCGGGAGTGGCGCTGCTTTGACAGGAGAGGGAGCGGCTAACAGGGAGCGACGGCGCCCATGACTCGCCGGAGCAAGGAACGCGCCCTTTTTTCTCCTTTCCCCTCCCCTCCCCAAAAAAGGAGGGACAAAACAAGGCAAACGAGAAGAGAAGCTAGTTTGCGCCTTGTACGTAAACACTCTTAAGTCTACTTGCACAGCTGGAAGGGGATCGACTCTATGGGGTATCCAGTGTGTAACCCCGTCAGGGAGACCTAGTGGGGAATCGAACCCACACACACACACACCGGCCTCTGCTGAAGCTTTATTCGATGTCTGAAATCTCAAAAGGAGGCGAGCGTCCCAGTCCCGGAAGACTCTTCATCGGGATAGGCATTGTTGAGCTGGGGAACATTGATTATATATGCCCTCAGACTGATTCCCATTTATACTGACCTTTTCAGGGTTTTTCAGCTGCCTAGAGTGGTCGTATAGACCAGATGGGTGGGGGTATAAATCAAATAAATAAATAAATTTTGTTTTGTTTTTTTCTTCCAAAGCTGTGAGAACTTTTCCGTTCCCCTCTGGGATCAGGTAACTTGTCCAGGGCTACATAGGCTGGCACTTCTCCCGGAAGACACAGGGACTCAAATTGCTAGCCCTTGGAGCCGGGAAGCTCCAGCTCCCTGAGCTAGAAAAGGCCAGATTTTTGGCAAGACCAAAACGCAGAACCTTTCTGCCCCTCCCCCAGCTCTGCAATGCTGGGCCTGATTTAGAGGCCTGCAGGGTCTGAAAGCTTGCCTGATTTTGTAATTGCTTGATTTTGGTAAAGCTCATCTTTTTGGATTCCTTGTCCTCTGAATGGTGGTGTGGAAGCTGAATTTCTTCTGCCACAAACCCTGGGTTAAGAGTGTGAAGCGTGGCAAAGACGGAATTGAAGGGTTTGGATTGTTAATGGAACAGCTGACTGCAGAGCCTTGTGCTTTCAGGCAGAAACCTCTGCTAATAATCTTCAAAAGGGTACCTGTGCTAGTCTGTTGCAGCAAGGGAAAAAAACACAGTTGCAGCACTGCACAGATAAACAAGGGTTATGGCATAGGCTTCTGTGACTGTAGTTTTCTTCTTTAGACATGTGGAGTACCGATTCATTAGACATTTATTTATATGAATCGTCGTTTAGTCGTGTCCGCCTCTTCGTGACCCCATGGACCAGAGCATGCCAGGCCCTCCTATCTTCCACTGCCTCCCGGAGTTGTGTCAAATTCATGTTGGTTGCTTCGATGACACTGTCCAACCATCTCATCCTCTGTCGTCCCCTTCTCCTCTTGCCGTCACACTTTCCCAACATCAAGGTATTTTCCAAGGAGTTTTCTCATGAGATGGCCAAAGTATTGTAGCCTCAGCTTCAGGATCTGTCCTTCCAGTGAGCACTCAGGGTTGATTTCCTTTAGAACTGATAGGTTTGTTCTCCTTGCAGTCTAGGGGACTCTCAAGAGCCTCCACCAGCACCACAATTGAAAGGCATCAATTCTTTGGCGGTCAGGTTTCTTTATGGTCCAGTTCTCACTTCCATACATCACTACAGGAAAAACCATAGCTTTGACTATTCGGACTTTTGTTGGCAAGGTGATGTCTCTGCTTTTTAAGATGCTGTCAAGGTTTATCATCACTTTCCTCCCAAGAAGCAGGCGTCTTTTAATTTCGTGGCTGCTGTCTCCATCTGCAGTGATCATGGAGCCCAAGATAGTAAAATCTGTCACTGCCTCCATATCTTTCCCTTCTATTTTGCCAGGAGGTGATGGGACCAGTAGCTATGATCTTAGTTTTTCTTTTTTGTTTTTTGATATTGAGTTTCAGACCATTTTTTGCACTCTCCTCTTTCACCCTCATTAAGAGGTTTTTTAAATTCCTCCTCACTTTCTGCCATCAGAGTGGTATCATCTGCATATCGGAGGTTGTTGATACTTCTTCCGGCAATCTTAATTCCGGTTTGGGATTCCTCCAGTCCAGCCTTCTGCATGATGTATTCTGCATATAAGTTAAATAAGCTAAATTTAAGGATTGTTTTACCTTACTGCTTTGAATGCGTTTTGGTGTTGCTTGTGTTTTTTCATATGGTGTTTGTTTGATCCTTTTGTATTTTTATATTCACTTTTGTTAGAGTTAAATACTGTTTCTTAATGATGTAAGCCGCCTTGGGCCCTTTTTAAGGAGAAAAGCCGGGTAATAATATTTTAAACACAAGGATTTTATTGGATTTCTGATTTTGATTTCATGGCTGCTGTCACCATCTGCAGTGATCATGGAGCACAAGAAAGTAAAATCTGTCACTGCCTCCATATCTTCCCCTTCTATTTCCCAGGGGATGATGAGACCAGTGGCCATGATCTTAGTTTTTTGATGTTGAGCTTCGGACCATTTTTTGTGCTCTCCTCTTTCACCCTCATTAAGAAGTTCTTTAATTCCTCCTCACTTTCTGCCATAAGAGTGGTATCGTAATAAGCTGGGGGACATTATACAGCCTTTCCCAATTTTGAACCAGTCAGTTGTTCCATATCCAGTTCTAACTGTTGCTTCCTTTCCTACATATAGGTTTCTCAGGAGATAAATTTATATGAAAAAGGAAGTGCAAAAGCCCCCAAACCTCATCTGAAAATTTACTAGTCTTTTCTAATACTGTAAGAAGGGAGCAAATGCCAAAGTAGAAGTAGCACTTTGTAAGGAAGACTCAACATCCCTTAGAGATAAGCTGCTCTACACATGAGAAACTGAGATGCAAGAAATTGTAACCAATGCATATAGTTGTCAAGAACAAATGAACTGCTGCATACTTTTGTTTCCTTTTTAGAACTGTATAAAAACTTTAACCCTGTTGATCTCAGGGTCCCCACCCTGCTGGGCACCCAAGTGCGCACTTGTTTTATTTGAATAAACCTGTTGCCCTTTCCTCCAATAAACTGTTGCTTATTATTACTGCTTGGGGCTTAGCTTAATAAAATTAGCTGAGACACCGAGCTCTGGTTGCAACAATGCTGTAAGACTATTGTAGTTCTTTATTGCCATTCATTATTAATAATATTTATTATTTTTAGTATACATATCCAGCATTTCCTCCAGTAAGCTCAAGGCTGTGTTACATAGTTTTTCTCTTCTCGGTTTATCCTCAGAATAATCCTGTGGGGTAAGTCAATGTCAGGAGGAGAGAATGACTCACCCAGTCACATTCAAGGCTGAACAGGGATATATACATGTAAAATGTGTTTTGTTAGAGAATACACTAAAAAAAGGAAAGATAATAGGAATCTTATTTCTAACTAATTGGGGCAGAGATGCAAAGAGGCCCCTCATCTCTTGAGAAGGAAAGCAAAATCTCCCCTCTGCCCCTCACAAAGATGGTCAAGAAGGAAATGTGAGAATAACACATTTCCTTCTTGAGGAAGGGCAGCAGCAATCCTAAGAGTAACGGTCTAGATTGAGAAATCAGTGTAGTCAGAAGACATAAAGAACCATCTAGGAGACTCAAAGAAGTCTTATTTTATCTGCTTCCCCCCCATGCAAAGCTATCCAACATCTTCAGCGTAAGCTGAGTTACACCAAGTCACCTGCAATACCAAATGGGCTATGTATGAGATCAAGCGCTTCAGGATTGTGACCTCTAAGAATGAGTCAGTCTCCCAGTTGGGGTCCTTGCCAGCTGAAAAAAAACAGGGATGAGTTCCACCAACAATCTTGCTGGATTATTATCAGCTCCAGTAGATGAAAAACATCAGTATATTTTGAGGTTCAGAAAACCAAAGCTCCTCCGTGACTGTATAAATTGTGTATTTTGGCATGCAATTTCTTATTGTTAGTGGAAAACACAGTAAACATACTCTGCCATATATTTTTAATAATGCTGACTGAATCAGAAGTGGGAGGAGATTCTTTAAAAAGGAAGGAAAATATTGTAAGTCACACAATTTTGATTGCAGTCATTTTGTTGAGTCAGGACAACTAATAGTTTCCAAGAGCTAAGCTAATTTTTACTTCTCTGACTAGAGATCAAAATTTATTTTTCGTAGTTGTTTTTGCTCTTTAGCTATGATCATGTCCAAATATTTAAAACATGAGGGTTGGAACATCAAGTTGGATAAAACTCGAGATCTAATTTCTTTACAAAGAAGTTCTGCTTCTGCATAATTTATTCCTAAAACATGACATTTCTTTAAAGTTTGCCAGTTCTTTCTTTAGTTCTAATATGACTCATATGGTTAGATAAAACTAGTGATTTTGACAGGATTCCCACTCCAGCGTTCCATTGCTATCAACTCCTTGTATGTATTAGGTCAAAATTCAACCTAACAGGGATTTCATAACAATCACAAACATAGGTGTAGAGCCTGAATGTGTAGCACGGTTAGCCTTGCCCACCTGAGCCAAGACAAAGGTAAGGAGCTTTTTAAGTGTGAAGAGCAACAGGGATTTGGCAGAGACTTCCTCTCGAGCCCTTCAGCTCCTTGCCATCATGTTACTGTTTGGCTAGTGAGTGGGAGGAAGGTATGTAATAAGAATGGTGCCCAAGCCTTTCCTGCTATTTACAATGGGAGGGTGAAGACAGAGAATCTTTTCTGTCTGTTTCAACTTGAAAAAAGTGGCTGATGTACATATAGAGGGTGGTGGTGGTTGGAGTGAGATTCTATATTGCGAGTTTCTTGATATCAAAGAAGTACTGAGGACCTAATCTGCTCTCTTGAATCC